AGGCGTCCCGGCCTCCCCCGCGCCTCCCCAGCTCGGTCCCTCAGCCCCCAGCCCCAAGCCCAGCCCAGGTCCGTCGTCGCCTTCCCTCGTCATCATCAACATCGCCGACATCGTCCCCCATCATCACCATCATCAGCATCACCATCATCATCAGCATCATCATCATTAGCATCATTATCATCAGCATCAGCATCAGCATCATCCTCATCATCCTCATCATCATCATCATCATCATCATCATCATCATCATCATCATCATCATCATCATCATCATCATCATCATCATCATCGTCATCGTCATCGTCATCATCATCAGCAGCAGCAGCAGCAGCACCACCACCATCCGTTGCCACCTTGGCTCAAGGTGCTCGGGTGCTCCGCCGCGCCGCGCCCCCCGCGCCCCTCCGCGCTGCCCGGCACTGCAGCCTGGCCGCTTTTGCTGAGGCCGCTCACGGCGACCATATTCAAGAACTACGTCTTCGGCATCTACACGTTCACGCTCGGGCTGAGCCTACTGGCAGCATGGGCGAACCCGCAGCCGCTGCTGTACGTAGACGGAGCCCACAGCGGCAACAAGGAGCCGGCAGTGATGCTAACGCATCGCCACTCCTGGCTTCCAGAAATGTTGTCAGGCAACGGACCAACGATCTCGACGAAAGCAGGAGGAATCCATCCAGAAATCGCTTGCGGACTTCAACGCCGCGCAGCGCAACACGTTGGGGAGCCATGCGGGAATTACGACGCCGAGCTCAAACTACACACTTGTGAGCTTACCTTGCGCCGAAAAGACATGGACAAGCAGCTCAGCGACCTCAATCAAGTGCGACCCGGAGCAGAAACACAACTCCCTGGTGAAGGAGCTCGATGACGTCAACCACCGCCTCAGCCTCGCAGAGGAGCGGGAGTGGCCCCTCCCGACGGGCTCGCAGAGACCAGCGACGATGACATGCCCGATCCCTCGATCCTCAAGGTTCGCACTTCCGCCTTTGCCACCGAGCTGCGGCCTGGAACTCCTTCACTAGGGGGCAAACTTTTGGTCTGCGGGTCGAGAGCGAGCCTCTTCCGGTTAAGAGCTAGGCGGGCCGCGCAAAGCACTCATTGGGGAGACAGGGCGCGGGCGGGCGGGGCCTCAGGCGGCCGGAGGGCGCGGGGTGCAGGCGGTGCTGAAGAGCTTGCACAGGAAAAGGTACGCCTTGGACAGGAGCCGGAGGCGAAGTAAGTCCCGGAGGGAGAGCGAAGTGGTGTTGCCGTCGACGGACTAGGGGGCAAACAAACCTATTTGACCACCCTCGCTTCCAAGAGATACCAAGCGATGCCAAACTACGGCCTGTACTGGTCAGGCCGCTTGACGAGGAGGCGCGTGGTATGACTTGGTTTTGCCTGGAAGCGAAAGCGGGGTAGGTAATTCACGCTCTGATTCACGGAGCTTCCCGGGGCCACCAACGTCCGCGAAGGCCAGGCCTTCCTCCGCGGCCCGCCTGTGCAGGACGCGCTCCCTCGAGGTCCGCCTCAAGGATAGGTTGCAGCGCTGCCGCCAGCGCCACGCGCACCCTCTGTGCCCAGAGGAGGAGGAGGAGGAGGAGGAGGAGGGTCCCTCCTCCTCCTCCTCCTCTCCTCCTCCTCCTCCTCCTCCTCCTCCTCCTCCTCCTCCTCCTCCTCCTCCTCCTCCTCCTCCTCCTCCTCCTCCTCCTCCCAGGCGGTGAGTGGACTGAATACGTCGAAGTAGGAGAAAAGCCAGAGATATAAACTTTTGGCGCTCTGCGCGGACTTCTCGGATCCGAGCTGGGACCCCCCCGGCGGCGCCTCCGGCGCGGCCCTTGGCGCGCTCCGCGCGCCAGGGAGGGAGGCCCAGCGCGGATCCAAGAGATCCGCGCAGAGCACCACAAGTTCATGTTTTTATGTGTTTTTCTTATTCTTCGATCTTCGTCGGCATCCAACAAAAATCGAAGGCAGAGCGCAACGAGAGCCTCCTGCGCCGGCTGCGCAAAGACGCCCTCGCCCCGCACTTCACCCAGCGAGGGAAGCCTCGCGCCGCCCACGCCGGCGGCAGCTGATCTGTCGGCTCCGATCCTGTCGCCCGGGTCCTCATCTCGCAGGCCTAAAGGTTGACACCAACACCAATTTCGGCGGTGCGCCTCCACCGAGGGAGGAAGATCCCGATCTCGGCGATGGTGGTAATATTCGGCATTCCTAGGTGGCCGAAATATTACCACCAACACCGGAATGTTTGATCATCTTCCCCTTGTGGAGGCAACCCCTTGTGTTGGTGTTGGTGCCCATGTCCAGACCTCCAATCATCTCCCCGAAGCCCAGCGAGGTCTACTACAACTGGCGGCTCGCCGTGTGCGAGTCCCACAAGATAGACAAGGACGCCGTCTTCGGAAAATTGCCGCATACGGGAAGCGACGCTACGCAGACATCACGTGGGAGAGGCAACCGATCCTGGGACCCTGTTGGGGTGTCTTCCACTGGCGTCGGCTTTGCCTTTTGGAGCGCCCAGGTTTCTACGCCTCCAAGCACCACCAGCGCATAAACAAAATCATCTACCTCCGGCGGCTCCTCACGACGAATACCGCCATATTCATTGCCGAAGCCCACTGCACCGCGGAGGCCTTCCGTTCGCTGCTCCCTGATGTGGCGCGCGAGTGGTGGATCACAGGCTCCGCCGGGTCACGCAGCTCTGGAGATGTCATTGCCATCGTTGGGAAATTAGTTACTGGACCCCCCCCCTGAGCGTGACATACTCGCAGAAAGGAGGGCCATTCGCATCGATGTGAAAGCTGGCCGTTCAGCTGGGCCGCATGGGCCGCACACAACTACAACATCAGCGAGCACGACATCGCTAACATCAGAGACTTCGCAATCTCCGACATAACTCGCGCCGAGGCCGACCCCGTTTCCAAGCCCGTCTGGCTCCTCGGCGAGTGGAATTTCATCGACGCAGACGAGCGTGCACAAGTTGTCCATGACCCACTTGCTCCTGAGCGTCACAGACCCTCACAGCACACATCTACTTGGTCGCACCTCACTGATCTATGGCACAGCCTACGATGCGCGGGAAGCCACACACTACACGAATTGCGAGTACGCCCGCTTGGACCGCATCTTCAGCTCGATCTCCCCTTGGGCAAGTGGCTCCGCGCAGCTGTCGGCCACGGTGCTCGATGACCCGCTGCGACTGCGCCGCAGAAAAGCCAACGACCACGCCACCGTCATAGCCCGCGTCGGCCCGAGGCCCGCGCGACCAGCGCACCACCAATATCGAGGGTGGACAGAACCCCCAACAGTGACACGTCGATTAGCGAATTGTCCGCTTTCGGTTCTCGAGAGGGCGCCGTGGCCGTTATTTTCCAGGCCCGCGCCCGCCAGGTTTGGGCCTCAGGTCGTTTTCACGAAACCACGTTTTACGAAAGGGAGGTCTGCCCATCCCCGAACCAAGCCGTGGCCCGAGACGTGGCTCTTCATCCCCAGTTGCGCGAAATCCATGACAAGATGCGTGCAGACGTCGATCTGTCATTCCCTCGGAGCACCGGCGGGAGACCCACCAAGAAATCATCATGGAGACGGGGCCGCAGAGCGCGCGATGAGATCCTGAAGACCACCCCGGACACCGACCTCGCACAGAAATTCGCCGCAGGACAGCTGCGACCTCGCACGGGCAGTCCTCGCCAACTTCTCGAGGGGCCGCCAACTTTGGCTCCGTCGGCGAGGGCCTGGTCACCCCGCGCGATCCCCGAGGCCTCGCAGACACCTGCGACGAGATCGCCGCCGACGCCGCCGCTGAAGCCGACCGTCTCGGGCAAGGCCCCCGACAAGCGCCGAGAAACTCCGCCCTCCCGGACGCGCGCCATCAGGGGCAGGGCCAGGTTCCGCCCCACGCTGGGCAAGAACCTCGTCCTGGAGGGCCCTCCCGACCCCGAGCCCTCCCGGCGGCGACCGCCGCCCGCGGGGCCGCGCCGCGGCGCCAGCCGCAGCGCGGGGCCGCGGCGCGGGCGCCACGCTTCGGACAGCCATGCCAGAAACGACCCAGACGCAAGTCATCGTCATCGTCAAATCCCCACATATACATGTGTATATATATATACACACACACGTATCGGAAATATGGGAAAGTGGGGGGGGAAGACGAAATCCAAGAAGTGTGGAAAAGACTGGGGAGTCCTGGGCTTTGCGCGCATCTACTCGCGTGCCCCTGGGCCCCTCCGCACGCGTTGACGCCGGTTCCCCGACGCCGCTCGCCAGCAGCATGCCCGAGCCCACCTCCCCCTCCCTCCTCGCTCCTCTTCCTCTTGCTCCTCCTCCTCCTCCTCCTCCTCCTCCTCCTCCTCCTCCTCCTCCTCCTCCTCCCTCCTCCTCCTCCTCCTCCTCCTCCTCCTCCTCCTCCTCCTCCTTCTCCTCGCTCCTCCTCCTTCTCCTCCTCCTCCTCCTCCTCCTCCTCCTCCCTCTCGCCCCCCCATCGTTTCCTCCTCCTCGCTGCTCCTCCTTCTCCTCCTCCTCCTCCTCCTCCTCCTCCTCCTCCTCCCTCCTCCGCCTCCTCCTCCTCCTCCTCCTCCTCCTCCTCCTCCTCCTCCTCCTCCTCCTCCTCCTCCTCCTCCCCTCCTCCTCCTCCTCCTCCTCCCCCTCCTCCTCCTCCTCCTCCCCTCCCCCCAAGAGGATCTCAGGCAGGCGGCTCAGCTGAGACTGCCCCAGAGCCCGAGGACGCCAGACCGCTGAGCCTCAGAAGCCCCGACGACACAATCTGCGCCCGAGGGCGCTTCCTCCACCCAGCGGGGCTCCGTTGCCCCGAGACAGCCGAACCAGAACATCTTCGACCTCGACTGCGCCGCCCGGGTGCACGGCCACCCCTCGAACGCGCGCCACAAGCTTGTCCTTGCCTAATGGGACATCGCCGCTGCTCCCCGCCAGCTTGCAACATAGCTGGATCTGGGCCCCCCTTGAAGCACTCGGCATGCCGCACGGGATTCTCGAGCTCTTCCAGAACATCCACCACCCCAAAATGGCATGCATTTCCGGCACGTCCGCCTGCTTAGTATTGTTTATAGTATTAGAATTAGTGAGGGGGCCGTCTACAGGAAGGGGGGGCCACCCAAAAACGCTAACAGCCAGGCCGGGGGGCACAACTAAAATGTAATATTCAAAATTACGTTTCTGTCCGAAGGCATGGTTTGGAAAATCCAGAATTATGGTTTGTTGTTGTTTTTGCCATGAAGGGCTGTGTGTGCTTGAATCCAGAAATCGTGATTTTATTGTGGGAAGGCCTCGCCTCTTTCGCCCTTCTGGAAGTGTTGTTGCACGATGAACGCCACGTGCGAAACATGTTTGCGGGGAGTTCCGTGTGTAGTTTCATTCGCGGTTGATCGCGTAGTTGGTTTCGTTGCTGTTCGTATCCATCACGGTCCACCCGGCAATAGTCCCCAGGCGAAATGTCTTGATCAGGGAAGTGCGGGAACATTCCGTGTAACGAAGAGAAATTGATGGGGAAGCCGTCAAACTGAATTTCGTGGGTCAGCCTGGGCACGCCCGGGCGTGAATGCACATTCGCGGCCCTTGCCGAAACAGGCAGGGCGCAGAAGAATGATGAGGAGGCGGGGGAGGGGGAGGCGGGGGGGGGGAACACGAGGAGGACGAGGACTAAAAGGAAGAAGGGGGGAGCGACGGGAGAAGCAGGAAAGGGGCGAGCAGAAGTATGATGACATTGACTGCGCAAGCTTTGGGGGGGAGGAGGAGGAAGAGGAGGGGGAGGAGAAGGAGGAGGGGGATGAGGAGGAGGAGGAGGAAAGGAGGAGAAAGAGGAGGAGGATTGGGCGAGGAAGAGGAGGAGGAGGAAAGGAGGAGGAGGAGGAGGAGGAGGAGGAGGAGGAGGAGGACGAGCGTACAACGCGCACGCGCGCGTGCGCGCGAGGTGTGATTTCTGCATTGTTCTCAGCGGTCTGGCAACGAAGGGGCCTGGAAACGAAGGGGTTCTTGGGCGGTGACCGAATGGGTGTTCCAGGTAGCGCGGGGCTGCAGCGCGCCAGCCAAGTGGCTCAGCGCGCAACGCGCCCGCGCGCGCGCGCGCCGGCGCGAGCTGTGAATTCTGTATCATTTATAATAGAAGTGCCGCAATGTTGGCATGGAAGCTCAAGTGGTCCCCTAGCGGAGACCGATTGGATTTCCGATTTACCATGGGTTTGTAGCGCGTCGGTGAAGTGGCTCAGCGCGCAACGCGCCCACGCGCGCGCGCGGGCGCGAGCTGTGAATTCTGCGTTATCCACAAAAGAAGGGCAGTCGTGCTGTCCTGGAAACTAAAGTGGCCCCCCAGCGGTGACCGACTGGATTGTCAAATTGACATGGGGATGTAGCATGTCGGCCAAGTGGCTCAGCGCACAAGTCGCCCGCGCGCGCGGGAGCGAGCCGCCACTCTGCGTTATCCAGAACAGAAGGGCCGCCATGGTGGCTTGGGAGTTCAAGCAGCCCCTTAGTGGTGGCCGATTCTTTTTCCAATTTAACATGGGCTTCTAGCATGTCGGCCAAGTGTCTCAGCGCACAGCGCGCCCACGCGCGCGCGAGCTGTGAGTTCTACCCGCAATAGCAGGGCCGCCATGCTGGCCTGGGAAATCAAGCGGCCCATTAGCGGTGACCGATTGAATATCCGAGATAGCTCGAGTTTGTAGCGTTTTGGTTAAATGGTTCAGCGTACAACGGGCCCACGCGCGCGCGCACCCGCTTGCGCTCGCGCGCGCGAGCTGTGAATTTTGTATCACCAACAATAGAATGGCCGCCATGTTTGCTTAGAAACTTAAGTGGCCCCTTAGCAGTAACCGACTGACTTCCAAGTTGGCAAAAGGTCGCAGCATGCCGGTTAAGTTGCGCAGCGTACAGAGCGCCCGCGCCTGTGCGCGCAGGCGCGAGCTGTGAACCCTGCATTCTCCGCAATGCAAATGCCGCCACGTTGGCCTGAGAACTCAAGTGGCCCCTTAGCGGTGGCCGATGGTATTTTCCATGTTTAACATGGGTTTGTAGCACGTCGGCCAAGTTGCCCAGCGTACAAGTTGCCCAGTTGCGAATTGTCGTACTACCCGCAGTAGAAGGGCCGCCATGTTGGCCTGCACACTCAAGTAGCCCCTTTGCGGTGGCTTCCAGCATGTCAGCCAAGTGGCTCAGCGCGCAACGCGCCCGCGCGCGCGCGCGGGCGCGAGCTGCGAACCCTGATCCAAAGTAGAAGGGCCGCCGCGTTGGCTTGGAGCCCCGGATTGATTTCCAGGTTAGCACTGGTTTGTGGCACGTTGGCCAAGTGGTCCAGCGCTCAACGCACCCACCCGCGCGCGCGCGAGTTGCGACTTCTGGATCACTTGGTTACCCATGATAGAAGGGCCGCCGCGATTGCCTGGAAACTGAAGTGCAATCCCATCGTTGGCTGATTCGATTTCCGAGCAACCATGAGTTCGCAGCGCGCCGATTAAGCTGTAAATTCTTTATTGCACGCAATAGAGTGGCCGTCATGTTGGCCTGGAAGCCATAGTGGCCCCTTAGCGGTGGCCGATTGGTTTTCCCAGTTTACCTAGGGTTGCCACATGTCGGCCAAGTTGCTCAGCGTACAACGCACCAGCGCGCACGCGCGGGCGCGAGTTGTGATCTCTGCATCGCTCACAACAGAAGGGCCGCCGTATTGGCTTGGAAACGCATGTGG